CTTTCACTACCGGATCTAAAGCTACCGTATTAATTGGTGGTAGCACTTTCGTGTTAGTTATCATGCTCTCTAACTGTTTGATCTTCTCTTCTACCTTATCGAATGTTTTAGAAACTTCTTCAAATTTCTCATTATTTTGATTACATACGTCTTTAATTATTTGAGAAGTCTCGTCGAATCTTCTAGATACATTTTCAAATTTCTCGTCATTTTGTCTAGCTATTTCTTTAATAATTTGAGACGTTTTCATCGAATCTTTCATCATTCTTTCGAGAAGATTCTTCAATCATTTGAGAGACGTTTTCAAATTTTTTATCATTTTTTCTGGAACTCTCTTCGATCTTCATTAAAACTTCTTCTTCTGCTGATTGAAAATGGAATGTCTCTGGGTCATCTCCATTCTTTTTAAGAACATTCTTTAGTCGTTCTTGGAGGATCTTCTTGGACCCGCTGCAGTCTTCATCACGTTCTTCTAGTTGCTCACGCAACTGTTTCACTGAAAGTTCTACTAGCAGCATCTTTGGTCAGGCACACACGTACTTTTTCAATGTTCTTTCGTACAACGATCACTACTGAACTACGCGGATGGTCACGACAAACAATGCTTTTCAAAAGTTCAAAAGTCTCTTTTTTTCACCGTTAAATTTATGTTTAAATAAATCAATTGTCCTCACACGTGACACCAACTGTACCGTTTTTAAATAAAACGAGCGGTTCGAATTTATATAAATATATTTATTTATAACTTTACAGTTCGGTACTCTCTTATCAACTAAACTTAAATCCTAATTTCGTTACATATATATACCAAAGTATTATGTTCGAGAATATTCGAGAGTAGTCCCACCTCTAATTCGTTATTTGACGGGTGGAAATTTACAGCGCTCGAAATATCGCCGAAACTCTCGGTGCTTCGAGATGCGACCGTTAGGTTAATCTGCGCTGAATGCATGTTCGTAACAATATTAACAAAATTAATAGCTTTTAAGTAGTTTAACATATTTGTGAAAGAACAATTTGCACCAAGTGCTTTCTCTAAGTTTATTGAGATGCCATAATTGATTCTTGCTGTGGAGAAAACTGGACAGTCTACAACAACATGTTCGGATTCTTTAGTAATTAAGAACTTGTGCGTGGCACCGGTATGACCTAATCTAAGACGAGTTATTGTCACTTGATCCCTTCTTTTAGCGGAAAAACATCACCATGGTTTAATGTTCGGTTTAATACTCTGAAGATTGGACACTAAAAATTCTCACCGGTTTTGCCACTCAATTAGAATTCGCGATTTGATTTGATAACACTTGAAACATCACTAGCTATCACGTATTTCACAATAACAGAATCTTCGTACAAATACCTTGGAGCATGGATCACAGAAGATACTGATCAGACAAAAGAAATAAGATGCCGCATTGAAATTGCGCGGCCAACTTTTAATAGAATAAGAAAACTTTTTTGTAATCGCGATATCAACATATTGCTCCGGATAAGAATGCTTTAATGTTATATTTTCTTTACCCTTTTGTATGGAGTTGAAGCTTGGACACTTAAAAAATCCAACATTAAAAACCTACAAGCATTCGAAATGTGGTGTTACCGACGTATTTTGAAAATATCATGGATGGATCGCAAAACAAACGAACAAGTTCTCGAACAACTAGGAAAACAATGCGAAGTTTTAAGTTCCATAAAAATTAGGAAATTGGAATACTTGGGGCACATCATGAGAGGTGAAAAGTACGAACTACTAAGGAATATAATGCAGGATAAAAGCAAAGGTAGAAGAAGCGTAGGAAGACGTAAAATCTCGTTGCTACGCAATCTCCGTGAATGGTTTGGATGCAGTTCAATTGAACTATTCAGGCGAGTAACCAATAAAATTATAATTGCCAGAATGATTTCCAATCTCCGATAGGAGTGGAACTTGAAGAAGAAGAAGAAGAGTCAGCTGAGTTGACAGCTTCACGCGCACACTTATCTGCTTCTTCATTACCTCTAATACCATTATGCGATAGAATCCAAATAAAGATTACCTCCTTATTACAATTTTCTATCTCTTGTTCTAAAAGAATCATCTGTAGCATAGGTAAATTATTGTAATAGCCGTTGATATTCCACTGTATTAATTTATTGAACTCTATTTTATTAAATAAATATATTTAATAATTGGTTTGTGAGCAGTCACTGTCCGTATCGGATACTAGGTCGTGTGGGATTTGCATCTTTAAGTGTTTTTCGTAAAGCGTTTTTCGTGATTTGCAATTAGATAAACAAATTGCTAATTTAAGAACTTATTTTTAGGTATAGGCTGAGAAATCTACTTTACATCGAGCAATTTGCGCAGTAGATGACACAACGCCGTTTAAACTGAGGGAACAAGAAATGCGCATAAATCACCTGACTAGAGTCAGGTGGTTTATGCGACAAGAAAAAATGCGCACCTGGATGAGTAAACCTCTGCATGGGCGACATCTCAATGAGATCAGCTAAGAATATGTTGACAATACATCGTCGAACTATTGGTTGACATCAGTAAAGATGTTTCCCGAAACTGAGGGTTTCCTACTTGCCATTCAGGATCAGGTAATTCCAACTAAAAATTACCTAAAATATATTGTTAAAGATTCTCAAGTTCAAAATGACAAATGTCGATATGGATGCCAAGCCCAAGAAGCCATCCAACATCTTACCGGTGGCTGCCAGGCATTTGTCGGTACCGATTATAAAGAACGCCATGACTCAGTAGGAAATATTATCCATCAAGAACTAGCTGACAAACTGGGACTTTTCCAAACTGACTATCTTCCTTATTATCAATATGTCCCTGACAGAATGCTTAAAAATAACAACTAAAGGCTATACTGGGACCGCACTGTGCTCACAGACCAACCAGTGGCCCACAATAGACCGGATCTCATACTAGTGAATAAAATTACCAGGCAAACAACACTTATTGATGTGGTGATACCTAATACTAACAACTTGAGTGTTAAATACAACGAAAAGATCGCCAAGTATAGGGATCTGGGAATACAAATTAAGAGACAATGGAGAATGGAAAGTACCCAGTCAGTACCCATTGTTCTATCTACTACTGGTGTTATTCCCAAAAACCTCCTAGCGAACATAAAACAGCTGGGTCTAAATGAACATCTTTATAAGGCCATGCAGAAAGCTGTACTCCTCGCGACGTCCAGATGTGTACGAAAATTTCTGGGAGATACTCCAACATACCAAGTCACCTAGAGCTCGATAACATGGAAAGAGTCCCACGAGAGCTTCATCCTTTTGATACCGTAGGTATCTGGGATGAGTGAATTTTCCCCTTAGAGGGAGTGTGAGCCGTATGGTTAAATCTGGGATAATAGCGTTTATTGTCCAACAGAATCCATTTATAGGACAAAATACAATACTAAAGTTAAATGAAGTATTAATAATTTGTAGGTACTAACTAAATAACATATTTTTCGAGTATTTTACCTTAACATAAAGAAACTACTTAATCAGCTAGGTAGATCTCAGCCATGCTAGTAAGCTGCTTTAAACTACAGTGAAATATATCGCGGTAAGCACTTAAGGAATTATAATAGTTGCACATGAGAAATAGAGGAGAATTTAACATAAGATTAGTTCTAGCTTGTTTATTTCTGAACGTAATCGAATTTCTCACTGGATAAGATGGAATGTTAAAATCTATTTGTCGAAGAATATCAGGGCAATCAATGAGATTATGTAGTAGCTTGTACAGAAATATTAGGGAGGCATTAATTCGTCTAGATTCTAATGATACTACGTCCAAACCGCTACACAACTCGCTATTGCTGATGCCCCTCCTGGGATATATGCCGTTAATTTTGAAAGACAAAGATTTTAAAAATTTACGCTGCACGTGCTCTATAATTTGGATGTGTACATCATAAAAAGGTGACCAAATGACATAAGCATATTCCAGTTTACAGCGTACAAAAGTGTAATAAAGTAATTTAATTGCCTCAGTTTTAATGACATTTCGACTATTTCTAATTATAAATCCATAAGATTTCGTGTGTCCATAAGTATAGTGTATTGTTCTGAAGCTATTTTCTTGTGGCATTGTAAATTAATTACTATTTATAACTGGGAATAAGCCACAATTAAAGATAAAAAATACGTTTATTGACGTTTCAATTTCCAATTCGGAAATCGTTCTCAAAATACAAACAGTAAATTAAACAAATTTTGTTTTTTGTTACATAGTGAAAAAATTCTTCTAACTCAAAAAAAATTAAATAAAAAAATTCGCAACTCAACAATATTGGCAATATCATTTTAAAGTCCTCTACTTTAAAATGCATAATGTATGTCTGAATTGTCAATATAAATGAGTCAGATAAAATTAAATTATTAGAAGAATTTTTTCACTATGTAACAAAAAACAAAATTTGTTTAATTTACTGTTTGTATTTTGAGAACGATTTCCGAATTGGAAATTGAAACGTCAATAAACGTATTTTTTATCTTTAATTGTGGCTTATTCCCAGTTATAAATAGTAATTAAGTATAGTGTACTTTAGATCACACTAATGTGATCCAAAGTATACGATACTTACGTAATGTGATTCTTAAATGTAAAAGAATAATGTTAATACTGTCCTCTCTCAATTCATTTTTAATTTCTATTGAAAATAAGAAGTTTCTTTATGTTTTACAACCTTACACATAGCGTCCCTTCTACTAGTCTGTAACTAATGCTATATTCTTCTGTTGCTTTGGAAACGTACTAAATATATACATTCGATATTTCACAATATTTTTAAGGTGCATTCGTAGAACATTTGTGTTTATGCATATCTTAATTGATGAGGTAATATGCTGCAACCTATTAGCGGCCTTTTTTAATGTTCTTCTTTATTTTCTAATAATAAATAAATAAACAACTTTATCGAGTTTTTTATCAAAATATATAAACTTTGATATTGGTTAATTAAATTAAGAAAATAGTTTGTCTTACAATTGAACTGCATCTAAGAACTATAAGTCTAAGCCAAAATTAAAAAATTGTTTAATCAAAATAATGAAAAAAATAGATATTGAAGAACCGAAGATAACACATGAAAAGGGCAGAACCTGGCCATGGATGTTCCACTTTTCATTGTTTACAGGTAATATAAATTTTTATTAATTTCTTTTATTTTTTCAAATACAAATTATCATCTTTTGTAATCCAACAAGAAATTTCTTCTTCTTCTATTTCTTTCTTCTTGTATGTAGGCTTTAAAACCTGTTTCTTCTTCAATATTACCCTCCTAAATTGTTTAAATTGTCGCACCATCTTATCGCAGTATACACTGTGTTAGTTTTTCATTTATCTTTGCCTGTATTTGATTATGAAGGTAGATGTTTTCGATGGTTTGTATAATATTGATTGGGAAGGTTTTTTTTATACAGTAGGTGTAAGATGTCTTCGACTTAGATGAGATGGAAAGCCTTTGTCAGGTCTATGAAACATAGATATGCTGGTCTATTGTACTCGATGGCCTTTTCTGTGATTTGTCTTCGAACAAATATGGCGTCTACGCAGGATTTTCTGGATCTGAAACTTTCCTGGTCAACTGATAAAGTTGTTAGTTTATTGATTTTCTTGGTTAGGAGTTTTCTTGTAAGCTTAAGTGCGGTATTCAGTAGATTTATACCTCTATAATTATTTGGATCTTATTTATCTTCTTTCTTAAACATTGGTATCACTACAGCTGTTTTGGCTGATTGCCTTTCTCAAGTGATCTATTTTTGGCATGCGTTTACAATTTATAGTTTCTAATGAAGTAGGTTGAAAAGGGGAGAACTGTTTGTCTCAAGGTGGTCATTCAGAATTATATCTGTGTTTTTTAATTTGTTGATTTTCATAGATTCTAACAAAGATAGCTTAAGGCTTTTATTTTGGATGTGAAGAATTTTAAATTTATCGTTAAAAGAATGATTATGATCTAGAAGGTGAAGTGCGTATGTTCTGTTTTTCTATTATTGAAAGTCCTTTTATGTTCTGCTATTCGTTTATCAAAATTTCTACCAGTTTGACCGATGTAAGTTTTTGGGCAGTCGCCACATTGAAGTTTGTACACACCACTATCTAAGTGTTTTTTATTTTGGCTCTTGTTTTTTTTTTATATATTTGCCTAGGTTGTTATTTGTTCGGAAAGCTTGTGTTATTCCTTTCTTTTTTATGTGTTTGGCAATTTTTGTTGTTATTTTGCCTGTATATGTAATTGAGCAAAATGTACTGAGTTTTTTCTCTGGTGGTGGAAATACTAATTTCAGGGCTTTCTTGTGTAGTTTTTGATAACAATTAATAAAATATTAAATCAAAAACTACACAAGAAAGCCCTGAAATTAGTATTTTCATCATCAGAGAAAAAACCCAGTACCTTCTGCTCGATTACATATACAGGCAAAATAACAACAAAAATTGCCAAACACATAAAAAAGAAAGGAATAACACCAGCTTTCCGAACAAATAACAACCTAGGCAAATATATTAAAAATAACAAGAGCCATTAAATAGTGGTGTGTACAAACTTCAATGTGGCGACTGCCGAAAAACTTACATCGTTCAAACTGGTAGAAAATTTGATAAACGAATAGCAGAACATAAAAGGGCTTTCAAGAATAAAAAACAGATTCTACATACGCACTTCATTTTCTAGATCATAATCATTCTTTTAATGAAAAATTTTAAATTCTTCACATTCAAAATAAAGGCCTATCACATTCAAAATAAAAGCTATCATTTTTAGAATCTATAGAAATCAACAAACTAAAAAAACACAGATATAATTCTGAATGACCAAAGTCAAAAATAGATCACTTGAGAAAGGCAATCAGCCAAAATTGCTGTAGTGATAAGATTTAAAATAAATCTTGTGGAAGTTTGAAAACAAAGTTTTCAGTGTTTTATAGTTACATAAAATGAATTTCCATCAAGTAACGGTCAAATCCATCAATTACTCAATCTATTGTGATTTTGTTTTTTTTTCTTTCTACTTTATAAATAGGCTTAATGCCTGTTTTACTTCGGTTTTTAGCCTTAATTGACGTTGTTTGACCATCTGTTCCTCTGTCGTCCCAATGATCTTCTTCCATTTGGCGATTTGTCTCTTGCTATTCGTACTATTTTATTTTCTGTCATTCTTTTGATGTGTTAATTCCATTCCACTCTTCTTCTTTTGGTCCATGCGTTTATTTCCTCCATTCCACATCTCGCTCGTATTACTCACTTTATACTCTGTCTCTTAGAGTTTGGTTTGTTATTTTTCGTAAGACTTTCATTTCTGTTGTTTCCAGCAGTCTTTGTGTTTTCGCCGTATCTGCTCTTGTTTCCGCTGTGTACGTCCTTATAGGTCTTATTGTTGATTTATATATCCTGATTTCGTTTCCGTTGTGAGGTATTTGTTTCTCCAAATTGTGTTGTTGAGACATTCTGCTGCTCTGTTTGCCATGTTCACTTGTTTTTCTACTTCTTCCACTTTTCTGTAGCTGGACAGTTTTATTCCCAAGTATTCAGTTTCCATCACTTGTTTACATCGTCTCGGTTCCGCTGATATCACTATCGAACGTCGTATCTTCGAATTCTTTAATTAATCTTTGTAAATCGTCTTCATTTTCGGCTGTAATTATGGCGTCGTCAACGTAGCATATTATCCTTATTTCCTTTTCTCCCATTCCATATCCTCTTCTTTTTTTAAGTTTCTTTATGATTTCATCCATTATCAGATTAAATATTAATGGGCTCAACGAATCTCCTTGTCTAATGTCAGTTTCATATTTAATGTTATTTTTAAGTTACAAAAAAGAACAATACGGTATCTTTATTAGTACTAGAACAAATCTTTTTTAATTCACAAATGTGCATATGTAATTATATTTACTACTTTTAGCTAACTTGATAGTCATCATATCAGGAAGCGCCCTGGCATGGTACTCATTTGCTTTTCCAATATTGACTTCAACTGACGCTGAAGTAAATCCATTAGGAAGACCAATTACTCCTTTTGAAACGTCTCTAGTATTTACAGCAGCTGCAGTTTGTGGAGCTATTAGTAATGTATTTATAGGAAGAGTTTTAGATAAATTTGGAAGAAGAAATGGTATACGAGTGTCTAGCGTTTTGTTTTTTGGAGCTTATATATCTCTTGCGTTTACACAAAATATTTATACGTTAGTTACATCTTTTGCAATACTAGGATTAACAATATCTAGTGGATTAATAACCGTAACAATTTATGGGTGTGAAATTGCGGAAGATAAAAATAGAGGCTGGGTCGGTTGTTTAACTTCTCTCATGATTCCAGTTGGTAATATGTTAACATTCATTTGTGGAGCAGTTTTCAGTAATTTTTGCTTATTCAATATTATTTTTGCTAGTATTGCTCTACTTCTAATAATATTTTCCTTTTTTATGGTAGAAACTCCTGTATATTTGGCATTGCAGGATAACAAGAAAGATTGTATAAGTACTTTAAAAAAACTTAGATATTACAAAAAAGATAATGGCCCTGAAATTGATTTTTACTTATTTCAAACAAGCTCTGAAGCCACACCTAGTGAACAAAAATTTTCATCTCTCCTTCAAGATAAATCTACAAAGAAGGCATTGCTTTTGTGTTTTACAGTTTTAACCACTCAACAGTTTTCAGGTTTATTTTTTATTATGGGATTCATTGTGCCGAGGTTTACTGACGCCAACTCTTCAGTGTCAGGTACCACAATCTGCCTTATAGTAGGGGCTGTTCAAATAGCAATAATTATTGTGATTCTTTTTATTGTCGATAAAATAGGAAGGCGACCATTCATACTGTTAGCTTCTCTTGGATGTTCTGCAATGTTGTTTCTATTGGCCTTCTATTTTTATGTAGAACATATGAACTTACCTCTTTTAGACAGTATTAAATTATTACCTGTTATTTGTATAACTCTTTGGATTATATCATACACTTTGGGATTGTCACATCTCCCAATTACTCTTATAGGAGAACTCTTTAATAATGAGGTACGAGCTACGGCAGTAGGTACTATTTATACAGTGGAACGTATTATAGGAATTGTTTTGAGTTTTGAGTATCCATTAATAACTGAAAAGTTTGGTGCTCATGTTAACATACTACTATGCAGTATTATAACACTCTGCGGTTTCGTATTATTACTATTATTTTTACCAGAAACTCGTGGTAAAAGTTTTAAAAAAATTCAAAGTATTCTTAGTGAGTAAACATTTAAATATGGTTTACCAAATCGTTTCCTTACATTATTTATAGTTAAATTATTATGCAATTGAATGACTGTCCCGAATAAAGTTGTAACTCACAAAAACATGTTTTGGCAGGAATCATTTTTTTTTCACTCGTGTAGTAAAGTGCCCTAATATCGGATACTTTTTTTTTAACCCTAATATAAGTTTTAATTCGTCAATTAATTTATGAATATTTTAAAGCAGAACAAGTAATAGACTATAGAGAATCATTTATTAAACGAAAATAAATCATTTCTACGAAGTTAAAAATATAATTTAAATTTTTATAAAAAACAGTTAATTTGGACTGTCAAAAAATTTCTCCTAATATCGGATATTAGGATACCGGTAAGGTAATTCTCTAAGACTGCCGTATTAAAGGCATTCTTGACGTCAAGTAGGATGAGAGCCACCCATTTCTTTGTATTCTACATAACTAAAGAAAATACTTCTGTGACCGCATGTAAGGCGGACATCTCAAAAGAGCACCAACGATTGAGATCTAGAAATCCTCCAATACGATCTGCCCGAAAAATTGGTAATTCCTATGATATACATAGGCAATGAACAACAAGATGGATGCCAACAGTAGAATCGGACTATATTAAGATATCCACCCCAACTCAGGGTTTCCTTGGTTCAAATCTGCCCCGGTCCATTTGGGCAAGGCTTAATCGTATACGTACCGGACATGGTAAATGTGCTGATTCGCTGTTCAGGTGGGGTCGTGCAGAAAGTCCACAGTGCGATTGCGGAGAATCTAGACAGACCATAAGCCATTGTGTTTCAGACTGCTTGAATCGTGTCTACCGTGGAAACCTCCAGGACTTTGCGGAATGTTCCCCAGAAGCAATTGAATGGCTATGTAAATTGGACATTAATATTTAGTGTCATTCATTCTATTCATTCTATTTTTACTATTTTTAGTGTTTGAATAATATATATAATATATATGTGTATATTATTGTAATTGTATTTGTATATTTATCATACTGTGAAAGTCCATACGCTAAATAAAACCTTTTAAAGTTATTAGTGGTAATATACTTCAGCAGGCAGGATGTTATTTCAGCCGAACCTCTTTTTGCTACAATTTAATGCCATAGGCACATCAAAGAGTCGTTTTAGATTGCTTAATAATTATAACATGACTATTGACATTGGTAAAATTGACGAAAATAATATTGGAATTATTTTTTAATAGTTCTATATCATTATTTAAGGTTGCATATGCTTGTTCTGCTTGTGTGTGGCGTAGCTTGCTTTCGATTTTAAGTATCTGCATTTTGGTCTCTGCTTTGGTACATACAAGCTAAACATAACACCTATCCCATTGCGCGCAAGTGTCCGATCCAGAAGTGCCAAATCTCAAGTTGAATTTGGAAGTAAATCTGTAATGGTAAAAGTAGATACATTTCGTTTATGATTAGATCTTAAGGCAAAATAAGCTTTTAAGTCTTATTTATGGAATAATGTCTCACTTATTGAGGAACAGATTCAAGTTGCTCCCTTACAGATACATTAATTGCGTCGGACGTTGCATTTGGTCTATTTCTATATTTTTCTCTTTGATGTGACAGTGTTTCATTAAACTTAATTTTTTCTTGCAATTTTTTCATACGAAACAAAGTTTTTTGATATATACGTATCAGGCAACGTATAAGTAAACAAACCGTTTCTTAGCGATTCCCCTTCAGGAACATATCCTCTTTTTACATCTAACGTTGTAGCATTTTCAATTTCATTGATTCTTTTGAGTATATTGAAACCTCCTCGTATAATAAAATATATTAAAAACTCCTTATAAATTTTTAAAAAATGAAACGAAGAATTTTTCCGTGTTGTTAGTTCGTATCTTTCAAAGTACCCAAAAGTGTTTCGTCGCCGAGTAATAAAACCATTTGAGAGTTGTTTATTTTACTTCGGCAATCTCTTTTCATGTTTATGCGTCGCAAAAGGATATGTACGCCGTTTTGTTGGTTTTGCTATTTCAGCAGTTTGTTTATTTTCAAGTTAAGCGAAAAAATTTTTAATTTCGTCACTCTCGTTGGAGCCGCGATCAAGAGCGGTTCAGCGTTATGTCCAAATTCATGTCGAGTTTGTAAAATTTTCTGTTTTTGCCCCTTTTCATAGAAAATGTGTAGCAGTGTGAAGTTAATGGTTCAGTAAATGTTTGAGTGAGGAATGGAAGAATCGTCGATTCCATCCTCGTTTTGTTTCTCCCTGGTTATCATCCAAGGCTTTTGGCACTATGGAGATAGATTTGTTCGAGATATGAAGATATGGAGATAGATAGTTGTGTTCATTGCACAGAGAGTAAAGCCCTCAGTTCCAGTTATGGTTTCGGATATTCCAGTGGCGTCTGGTTCCACAAATTCTAGTGCATTTTGTTAGTGAGTTGTTGTTTGTGAGTGAAAATCCAGGTAACTTTTTGATCAAATTTTAAAGTAAAGACAGACAATTTGTTTTAAATTAAATAATTGCTTTCGTTGAAATTTAAAAATTGTTACATTTAAAATTGTAAATTTTAGGTTTTGAGTTGAGCTGTCAATTTGTGTGTTTAGTTTTTTTTTGAAATTTAATGTTAACTTATGACAGCTCGTTTTTTATTATTTTTTTTTGACCATTAGTTAGTTTTATTTTTAACCAAGGTTAACCTCCATATAAATTTGTAGTTTTATGTAGTATCTCCAACTCCTGGAGTTTGTAAGCGGATGACACGTAAGTTTTGTATTTTGTATTTCTCCATTTTATAACTGTTTGTGGTGACACATAAATAAATGTTAAATTTTGTTGTCTTAACATTTTATTTATTTTTTTGAGCTAACCCTTTTTTGATTTTTTTTTTGAAAAAGATATGTTTTTGTTGTTGTATAATTATTTCCCTAGTTACAACTAGTGGTTGTAATAGGCATGATTAGGCACCTCGAGTGGCGCCCTATATTAAATTCCTTGAGGTATTTCCTGTTTATTTTTATTTTGTTTATTCCAAAAGAATAATGACCCCCTTTATTTCATTTTGTGTAGGTGCCCCATTCCACCCCCCTTATCTATTACTTATCCACGACCCCAGCTCTCCTACCAAACCCTGAGTGCCGTTCGCACAAGTAGCGATTATTTTGCTTGCCTTATCTCCACCCCCAATAGTTTCTTCCACCAATTTTCTATCCCCAGTGTTAATGCCCCTGTGGTAGGCAAAATATTGTCGTTACCAAAAATGGCGCCCAACGTGGGGCATGTATTAGATTTTCGCCATTTTTGTATCTGTCGTTACAACGCAGCTAACACTGTAGAATAGTTTAAAAAAATGGTTTTTCCTCTAAGTTTATTTTGTTACACCCATACTTACAGCGACCAGTGTTAGCCTGCCACCAATCAAATCTGCCTTCAATCATTGAAGCAGACACAATTGTTATAAACAAAATTTCGTTAATTTTTTTGTTCAAACTTATTTATTTTTTGTTTATAGTTAATTCAAATTTAAAAGTTGCTTTTAGTTAGGATTAAACACATTTTAATCCAAGTTTTTAAAAATGTATAGTTTGACCTGTTCAAATCGGGTTAAACATTTAAAAAATCACCTCTATTAACCTTGTTAAGCTTATTTACATCAGGAAAAAGATACAATTTTCTTGACTTCTGTTTACTGGAGATACTTTTTCAGAAAGAACAGCACATTTTCTGGGAACATATTGCTTCTCAGTGTACTGTGGGAGTTTTGTTATTGTGCTTCCTCTGACTAAGCCTAATTTTTCTCAATCGTAAAATAGTTTCGAAACACAATTCAGATTTCTGCTTTATAATCTGAGCCTTCTAAGAATTGCAAGGCAAACAGACGTTAATAAAAGATGTTAAAAGAGACATGGGGAATCTAAAATTTGCATTCCACGACATGTCTTTTACAAATACGCAGAAATCCTTAGCGAATTGTGTTTCTTGTACTCCCACAGAGTAAATCCGAATAAAATGAGAAAAGGCAGCAAATATTTGATTTCACGCAAACAAATCCTATGTATCTCTTGATACGTATTTCGACCTAATAGGTCTCGTCAGAAGAGCTATTCATAGGGGTTCTCAACGTGAAAAATCAATATTTTCTGCCTTTTAAGAAGCAACAATAACATGGCTTCAATACGGACGCAGTAGCGACATCTAATTAAACAATCGAGAACCCCTATGAATAGCTCTTCTGACGAGACCTATTAGGTCGAAATACGTATCAAGAGATACATAGGATTTGTTTGCGTGAAATCAAATATTTGCTGCCTTTTCTCATTTTATTCGGATTTACTCTGTGGGAGTACAAGAAACACAATTCGCTAAGGATTTCTGCTTAGTTGTAAAAGGCATGTCGTGGAATGCAAATTTTAGATTCCCCATGTCTCTTCTAACATCTTTTATCAACGTCTGTTTGCCTTGCAATTCTTAGAAGGCTCAGATTATAAAGCAGAAATCTGAATTGTGTTTCGAAACTATTTTACGATTGTTTAATTAGATGTCGCTACTGCGTCCGTATTGAACCCATGGTATTGTTGCTTCTTAAAAGGCAGAAAATATTGATTTTTCACGTTGAGAACCCCTATGAATAGCTCTTCTGACGAGACCTATTAGGTCGAAATACGTATCAAGAGATACATAGGATTTGTTTGCGTGAAATCAAATATTTGCTGCCTTTTCTCAGCCTAATTTTTCTGTTTCGAGATTTATTTAATTGCTTTTTGTGGCCACATTCACATTAACACAGGGTACATTCACCATGTCTAATATTTCTAATGATGTTACAAACTTATCCGCTGCGGCTCTACTTGAATTGTCACATAAAAATAAAAAGTTGATTTTCTGCTACCAATTATATAACAGTATAACAAAAATGATAGTTACAACCTTATTCCGCTAATAACTCCGATTCACAAATATTGAGAGTTACAACCTTATTCGGGGCGGACATTCAATTACTAATATATGTATATTTTATAGAAGATGTGTTTATCACTATACTAATATTTAGTTCCGTATATCATGGTCGTATTATAGATTCTTCTTTCAGTTTTATTGAAATATTTATATCATATAATACGTACAATCTACTGCATATAGCTCCATCTATTGCTAGTTTATACATCATATTTGTAGCCTGCATTTTATGGTTAAAGTCTTTTGCTAGTTTTAACTAATATCTAACGATAAAACACTAAAAACTTTTGTTTTCCACGTTTTCACAACATTTGTGAAACAAACAGTAATTGTGTGACTAATAAACAATTGGCGCACAATCCACTGGAATATTCCTTTTTATTCTAAATTATCGTTTTAAACTAAAACTGCTATATTATTAAGCTAAGACTGATATTGCCCTGAACAGTACGGATTAGTGTATCCTTTATACGAGTCACAAAGTCACGAAAAATTGTTGTGTTTATGTGTAGGTACGATTGCAGAATTAGGATATTGTTAACAGGTAGACGTTTTCTAATTTTATAGAAAAAGCAACTAATTCACAATATCAAATGCCTGGGTGAGCTCGCAAGTGATGGATTTTTACTATGCTCTAGAAATTGTGGTCTTTAGCTTAATAATTTGAGAAGGTAAGAGCTGTTTGTCTCAGGTTGGTCATTCAAAATTGTGTGTAATTTTTTATTTATTAATTGCCATAAATTGTAATAAAGAAGTTTAGGTATTTATTGTAAATATCGTGAATTTAAAATTAGAAGGTACATTGCGTTCTAGAATGTGTTTTCTTATTATTTAAAGCTGTTTTGTGTTCTGCTAACGTTTCTTAAAGGTTCTACCACTTTGACCGATGTAGCTCTGAAATTAGTTTTTTCACAACCAGAGGAAACCCAGTGCCTTCTGCTCGATTACATTTACAGGTAAGATAACAACAAACATAGCCAAATATATAAAAATAAATAATAACACCAGCTTTCAGAACAAATAACGACTTAAGCAAATATATTAACAACAATAAAAGCCAAAAAGCACTCAAACAGTAGTGTATACAAATTTACACGTGTGACTGCCCAAACTTTACATTGGACTAACTGATAGAACTTTTAATAAACGTATAGCGGAACACAAAATGAATTTTTAATAATAGAGAATTAGATTATGTGTCCGCTCTTCACCATTTAGATCATAGTCATTCTTT